ACGAAACCCTGATTTTTACTTTCCTTTGGAGGGGATGGGGCACCTCAAGATACCTATGCGAGTGGAGTTTCAGTGTACAGTCAGAGTCTGGTTGCAATGGCTACAGAATTATAATTATTCACTGTTGTGTAAATGTCCACAGGCATACTGGAGGATGTCCATATTAGTCTAACACATTCTCAGTTTGAGCAGCTGTCTGAGAAATATAACATCAGAAGCAAGGAGCGTATTTCCTACCCAGAATTCCTGCAGCACTTTGTGCTCACGCTGAAACCTCAAGCCAACACTTTCAGCCGCAGATGCAAGCTGCACATGCCATCAACCGTAAGGCCTTGTTACTCACTACTGAGCTGTTTACATTCTGAGATTTTTAGCACTATACTGGATTAACAGTGTTGATACTGTATTATCAGAAATGGAATAGTGTATATGACAGGTCTACAGCTTTTTTAACTATAACATGTCTCTATCTATGTTCTACAGATGAGTTCAGGGCCTCTGAGTAAGCAGTGCATGGATATCTTGCTCAGGCTGTGTCCTTCTGTCCAGATTTACTGGAGGACCATGAAGCAGGCATTTATCTCCTGTGACAAGGAACGCACAGGAAAGATTTCTCTTCAGGATTTCAGAAAAGTAGTTAATACTGCCCTACCTTTAATGAACTCATAGCGTCCTTATTATCACCCTACATTACACTGTATATTATATAAGATACTGTATATTATGTAATATAAGTGATAGTGCTTTTTTCTTACAAAGTGCATTGTTGTTTGTAATCATGGAAATGGTAGCAAATGTATTTTACTTTTAGATTTTGATGGCAAAATCTGAGCACCAGACTGGCTAGTACCTTAGAAATGCAGAGAGAAGAGATGTAAATGCATTTTTCTTACCAATTGAATCTTTCTTAATAAGATGCACTAATTTAAATATTTGTCATCTCAACAGGTTTTGAGGCAGTACAACATCAATCTCTCGGAGGAAGACATCTTTCATCTTACATCTTTCTTTGATAAGAACATCTCAGGACGTATTTCATACAATGAGTTTTTGAGCATTTTACAGAAATGAATGCAGACTTATCCTGTATTGTAATGTATAGTGTGCAGGGGTGAACAAATCAGTAAACAAGACCATGTCTGAGTTTTTAGTTTTTTTATTCATAGTTGTGGACAGTAGGCTCAGTAGGCTAGAGAGAAAGAAAAAACCTTACTTCCTGTTGGCTTTTGCAAAACAATCATTTATTTGCGTGTACTTATATTTAAAGAAAATGCGCTTCACGGTGCAACACACCTTGATGCTGTAACTTTAGTATGCACAACTCATTCTGATCTCACCACCTGCTTCACTACACGCAGCGGGTTTTACTGTTCATATTATTTGACATATGACCTTTTGAAATATGACCTTTTGACATATGACCTTTTCAGAACCAGAACACACAGGAATGTGGAAACACTGACGAATCCAAGTGAAAATAAAGTGCAGCGCAAAGCTGTCATGTAACTCCTAGCACAACACACAGTCACCATAAATAATATTGTGGCATTAGCGAGAAGGAGGATTGATCAGGACGCATTGTTAAAACAATGCACTTGCTCCTTTATTGACAAACTCACACTTATAGCACAATCACAGGTTTGGTGATTACTAATCCCATTACGCGTCATAAAATTGGTGGACACAACAGAAGCAAGATAACGTTCCAGTATAAAACAATATAAAAAAATAAACAAACAGTACAGTACTGTGCTAACAATTAACACTTAATGTAACAGAACAACACTAACATTAAACTGCTAACATTTGAGATGCCGCAGAGTGTGCACAGTAGGACAGCGAGGTTGCAATATCTTATATACACAATACAATATCTACAGTATCTTTTATGTGTGATAATATCAGCTGTGCTACCTCAGACGCTTCCTTAGAAAAGGATAATGACTATGGCCAAGATATATGCTATGCAGGAGTATATTTTATATACTTGTTTGTGTCTGTATTAAAACACATAACTAGGTAATTAAGGCAGCATATGTTATTACATTATGTTAGCTACCATTTTTAGCCTAGTTAGTTAGGTTTCTGGGAAATCAAATCATGTGACTGGGCAAGCATACTGAAGCTTACACTTAGCCAGTGGGCTAGATAGTGGATATATGATTTGTCCACCCTTGGTGTGTTCTATTAACTTTTTTTTATTAATACAAAAAATCATTATGCAATTATCCTATTATTGTTCTTCATTTAAAAGTTTTTGTCTAAACATCTTTAAAATTAGGTTATTTCCCACTTTGGAATTTCACAATTTCTGAAGCTCAGGTAACTTTCAGGGTTGTTTAGGTGCCATTACTTTTCATTTAATAAAAGATTTAAAAAAAAAACAAAACATTGTTGCCAGTGCTTATATTTACAGTGAACCCTGTCTGAGGTACAGCTTGGCTCAGGCTGACTGGGGATTGATACACAATAACATGCTGAGTTCATTGAGTTCAGTAGTGAAGATTATATAAAACAGTTTAAAGGAATCATGGACTGATATCATTTTACACTGATAAGTGTGTAAGGATCATATACCAACATGTAGCATATAACATATAACAACAACATGAAGAAGAAGAAGAAAGAAGCAAACTTACTTTGATGATTTAATGTTACGTTGGGTTCAAAGTCAACAGTCATGCTGTGACTCTGTTGCATAAGTGTTATTGTCGGTAATGCCAACTGCAGTGAACTTCCTCCTCATTCAAAGCTACATGCTGAGAGAAACATGCATGTGAAACATGCTCACCTCACATAACAAGTGGAATATTTCATTTGCTGGTTGTGGATTTTTGGGAATTTATTATTTTGGAGTGTACAGTTGTCTGTTGGAACGGGCTCATCACTTAATTAAAAGTACCAGTAAAATTTGTGGTGCTTCATCAGGAGCGCTGATAGCAGCTATGATAGCATGTGAAATGTCACCAGGTAAGTAATAACATCAAATATACTGTATATACAATGCGTAAAATCATGCAGGTAGATACAGGCCAGGAGCTTCGGGTAATGGTCTCATTAAACATCAGAATGCAGGAAAAATGTGATCTCAGTGACTTTGACCGTGGCATGGTTGTTGGTGCCAGATGGATAGTTGATGGTTTGAGTATTTCAGGAACTGCTGATCTCCTAGGATTCAACACAACAGTCTATAGAGTTTACAGAATGGTGCAAAAAAAAACAAACAAAAAAAACATCCAGGTGATGGACAGAAAAAAGACTGAAAAAAGACCAGACAAGACCAGTTTAGAAGAACCTTAAGCACATCTATACAGTCCCCTCTGAATGTACTAGAAAGGCAAGGCCAATTTTTATTTTGTTTGCTGTATACTGAAGACATTTGGGTTCTACTGAGACAGTAGATCAGAATTTCAGCTTTCATTTCCATCTAGATGTGTTTAACATTGGAATATGTATTGGAATATGCCTTTTTATATCTGTACATACTTAAGGTTCTTTGTTCCTGTCCTTCTGCAGGAACCCCTAAGGTTCTATGTAAAACTCCACAAAAGAGTGTTTCCCTATCAGAAAGGGTTCAAGGCAAAACTTTTTTGTAATCCCCCTTAATTATTTAACAAACGCTTAAAGAACTCTTGAAGAAGCATTTTCTAGAGCGTACCATTTCAATGAATCACATTATATTTCAGTTATTTAGAGAATGTGTAATGTTAATAAGACAGTCTTTGAACCATGGACAAATCTTTTAGTGCAGAAAAAGGACATGTCTTAGTCAACTGAGTCCAGTGTAAAAACTTCATAACTGTTGATGTGTAGTATTTCCCATTTCATCATCGTCACTGTTGACACTGTTAGTTAATGATTTAACATCTGCCTTGTTAAACGATAACCACCAAATAACTGTACAAACTTTAAAATGTGTGAATAAGTAGGTTTGTTTTTCTTATTTTGAAGCAAAGTGCTGTGAAAATCTGATGGCAATTGCCAAAGAGGCTCGAAAAGGCATGCTGAGCTCCATGCATCCCTCCTTTAACCTGTTGAAGTTAACCAGGCAGCTTATGGTCCGAGAGCTGCCTGATAACGCTCACCTCCTTGCCAGTGGGAAACTGTGTGTGTCACTAACACGTCTTTCAGATGGGAAGAATGTGCTGGTGTCTGAGTTCACCAGCAAGGACGATCTCATCCAGGTGAACTTAACCTTCATCTAAAATATGGAGAAGGATGAATTTGTTACATTAAAACTTGGAGCATTAAATCAAGATGCCACAGTGCAGTGTTAAGCTTTAATATTGTTCACATGTTTTTTTTTATTTTTAACTGTGTGTTTTGTCCAGGCTTTATTTTGTAGCTGTTTTTTCCCCGTGTACTGTGGAGTGGTGCCACCTAGTTATCATGGCAATGTAAGTACTAAAGAAATAACAAATTATACCAGTCTAATTAATTACTATAGCTATATGCTATATTACTATATTTATAATAAACCCTAATCTACATGCTCTACTGTCTCTTTTCAGCGCTATGTAGATGGCGCTTTGAGTGATAGTGCTCCATATTCCACTCTGAAGAATACCATCACTGTCTCGCCATTCTCTGGTGAAAGTGACATCTGTCCATATGACAACCCTGTCTACTGCCAAGAAGTGAGACACTGCAATATGAGCATTAACATCAACTTGGCTAACGTGCACCGTGTTATCCAAGCGTTTTTCCCACCAGAGCCTGAGGTAAACTACAAACTTGTTCAGTTTTAGTTTATGCATCAGTTTTGGTGTAAAAAGTCCTTAAATGTAAAACTCCTCTCTGGACAACTTGCATATTGTTGTTGTTCTTTCAGCTGCTCCCGTTAGAGAGCGCCACAGCAGATCACCTTCCATTGTCCGCATATCGATTTGGCACAGGTTTCATGCCAGATGCCCTTCCTGACACAACCCTCCCCATTTATCTGGGCTTGGGACCAGCACTGAGAGTGCGCTAGATTGTGCAACCCCAGCGGCTGGGGTTGGCACCCAGCATGGGTCGCAAACCCACGATCCTGAGATCAAGGGTTCCATACTCTATCAACTGAACTAGCCGGGTGCCTACGATTTATATTAATACGTATATTAATCTTTATAATTAACATATGCTCTTCAGTGGCATTGCCATGTTGCTCTATTTTCACTTTGTTTATGGGTTTCCTACTCACAATGCTGTTAGTCTACCTGCTGATACTGGTGCCAGTGGGAATTAGCTCTTGCTTTATCTCTATCGAAAGAGAGCAGTGCAGCAGTGCTTTAGTAATTTACAATTTCCGGCTGTCTCGCCTCTTCATCTGTGCACTCTGCACACACATCAGGTTCCAATAAAACCACCATCAGCACCATCATGCTTATTATCTCATAGATAGCTAACTAGCTGAGCAGAGTCTCTGCCATAACTCTTATGTTTAAGATCATTGACATTTTTCCTCCTGTTAAACACCATTGTAACTGCGCTAGCAATATCACCCTGTGACATCAGCACAGCAGACAACCGCTAACTTCTCACTGGAATAACAAAAATACAGCATCAACCAACAACCTAGCACCAGGATCACTAAGCACATCACAAATATTCCAATCTAAACACATTTAATGTGTCTCAGGGTGGTGTTTTCCTTTAAGTTCTGTTTCAAATGACTGGTTTGTTCTGTTCTCAGGTTATGGCAGAGATTTGTCACAACGGATACAAAGATGCACTCATGTTTCTGAAGCAAAATGGTGGGCAAGATTTCACATAAAGCCTAAATGCTACTATAGATATTCTTACATATACAATAGATCTTTATTCCGTCTATGTTTTATGCTTAGTGGAACATAATAATCTGTCTGATTTCAGATCTCTTAGAACAGGACTCATTTATGACTGAACTTATAATAAATCACAGACAGGACAAGCGTCCCTGGTTCACTACACACAACTACACATGGCAAGATGATCACAGTGAACCCAGACAGTCTGGATCAATGAGTGGACAGAGCTGTGTGCTGGATAAACAGGAGATGAACCTACTGCCTGTGTCCATCCAAAAAGGTCGTTGTCCCAGAGTTGTTTACTGTCAGAATGAGAAATCATCTGTAGAGTCTTTTAGCGTAAATATGGCTTGTGTCTGTTCCTCAGTCTTTTGTGATGCTAGTACAAAGAAACACAGATGGATGAGTGAACTATTTGCAGTGAAGTTGGTCACATCCATACTGATGGTGTGTGTTTTGCCTGTAGAGGTCGTCTACTTCATGCTTCTGAGGTAAATCTAATCTACCTCATTAATCTACCGATATACATATAATTCTGTAAACCACAGCACTGCTGAATTCTCCATTCTGATTTGTTAGAAGGTGTTGATTCATTTTCTATAACAGCAGCACTGACAGTAGTTCTGACTGCAAGGTAGATTACAGGTTTATATTAATACACTCGCTCTTATACAGAATCATTTCTATACTAACAACTTATACAGAGACTTGAATGGCAGTTTTCTGATGACATGTTTATTTAGCATTTTAGAAGGAGTCTCCAGTGTCAGCATCTCAGTCTCAGTAACAAAGTATGGTTTTTTTTCTTGCAATGGGAAATCTTCAGGACAGAGGATTTCGCACCTCATGGTTTCTCAGTAACATGACAAGTTCTTGTTATCACTTGTGTTATAGCAGTACCAGGAAAAAAAGAGCCTGGTGCTGCTATAACACAAGTGATAACAAGAACTAACTTGGACTTTCCACAACCTTCCATGCAACTTTAAATGGATAAAATGGACATGTTCTTTAATAAATAAAAATTGTTGGCAAAGGGGAATAGAACAACTGTAAGATGTGCTGTTATAGACAAGTGGATCTGATCATCTTTATATAAATGCTTAATAAATATGTTGTTAAATGCTAACTGTGCTCTAACAATAACTATTAGATTTGCTGGCTGGATGTTGGACATGGTGTCTGATCTTCCGTAGCTGTGGGAAGTCACCTCACAGATGAAAGCATTGGTGTTGATGAAACTGTCCTGTAAAAGGTTTTCACACTGCACATTCCACACGCATATTAGAAATTACACAGGTGTAGAAATGCTAAAAAGCAAAAGGACGTCCATTTGTCAATCTTCTGTAAAATGGCTGCTCTAGATTAAGTGTGCTTTTCCTCTTGTCTTTTTTTTTTTTTTTTTTTTTTTTTTTAGCCTAATACCACTGAAGGTTTCAACTCTACATCCTTAGGTCTACCTGCCCAGGTCATCGACAGTCCACTCTCACGTCCACATCTGTTCCTACTCAGGCTCATTTTGTAACTTTTTTCCCATATTTTTTTGGATAATGTGTGACAATGCAAATATGCAAAATGCAAAAGTACTAGAAAGGGGACAACAACAAAAAAAAGAAACATTTACAAATGTACACCCAGCTTCTTGTTACTAAAGATTTTTTTTTTCCACAGCAAGGTAACTGTAATTAGAAATAAAGGAATAATTGTGCTAAAGATGAACATTACACCTGGATAAGCTGAATGCAATAAAATTTTAATAGAGGGAAAATGTAATCATGTTTACAATAAGAGTAACAAAATAGCACCAAGAGTGTGTTTTATATAGACAGTAAAACCACAGTAAATCAAAGCTTTAAAATTCACACAGTACCATGCGTCATTAAAACGGTGTTTTACAGTACTTGAGAAGGCATCGTGAGCGTCATTGACACTTGCATTTGTAATTTCAAGTCACAGGAGACAACTACTCCACAAATACCAATAAACACCACCAGAAGTCACATGATTGTATCAGTAAAATCTTTTAGAAATGCACCTTGAGGGATTAATGGTGGTGTCTTTGCTTTGATTACAAATGTTTTAAGAATTTCACCTATACTACTTGCACTATTACACCTTTTTTTATATATATAAAAAGGGGAGATTCATAATCCTTACTGTTTCCATGCTGACCTACAGTATGTAAATGGCTTCCAAGGAGAGAATAGTGTGCAAATATTTTGCACAAGAAAAAAAAGTTTAAAGTTTAGCCAAATTAAATTACATACTGTTCTGTCTTAAAATCAAGTATCAGTCCCTGATATCACATGAAACAAATAATTGCATCAGTGCTTATACACTAAGCAAAAACAAAAATGTTTTGGACACAGAATATAAAAAACACAAGCTCAGATCCATAGAAATACTACTTCCTAAAATGTCTAATTCAAATTCATGGCAAAGAAAATAAAAAAAAGAAGAGTTCGAATGCATCTCTTCTTAGATGAAGAGTGTTTCATGAGAAGAGTCTTCAGTTGAAGAACTGAGGTACAGTTTATAGTTGTTGAGAGCAGCAGGTGACTTGTGCGAGTCACTGAAGTAGCTGTTTCTGCTTCGAATCATAGTCATCATCCTGTTCTGCTGAGTGACTTATGCACACAGCAACCATAATCATCTTATTACCTAATGTAACACATTTAAACAAATCAGCAAGCAGAAATGTCAGTGCACCTATTGAGATTGCCCCTGAACTGGGAGAAGCTGGTGAGAGGCACTGCAAGAGAGCTGTGGATGAACACAGGAGTCAAGTCCCTTACTGAGATGACGGTCCTGCTCATACGGCCTCCGCCTGCGCTTGTGACGAGCTGCCAATCTCGGGAATCTGATCGGCGAAGGAGTTGGTCATCCACTGGCCATCTGGAAGCTGGCCCACTGCATTTGGATTCCTAGGCTCCTTCTCTGCTGCTTCTAGAAGTACAGACAGACAAATCAATAACAAGCCGTACATTGCTACTCCTTTTGGCATTCCAGAGGTGCCAACATTGCTAACAAGAAAATCAGAGCAGGCAGAGAGGAAGAAAATAGAATTTTACCACAAAAGCCCCAGAGTGGACAGGCTCCATTCAGCATAAATGATCAAATATGTATTGGTTGAACTCACAGTTATTCATTATATGCTTTATCCTGGTTGGCGTGACAGTGGATCCAGAGCCTATACTGAACAATGGGCGTGAGGCGGGAAAACACGCTGAATGGAACGCCAATCGATCACATGAACGAACCACACACATTCACACATCGGGGCAATTTAGAGTCACTAATCCACCTACTGGCTTGTTTTTTTGGATACTGGGAGGAAACCAGATAACTCAGTGGGAACCCACAAGAACACTGGGAGACATGAGAAACTCAGACAGTAACCAAAGCTCAGGATTGAACCAGGGACCCTGGAGCTGTGAGGTTGTAACGCTACCTGCTGCACCCCATGCCTACATATAGTATAGACCAGTATAGTAAAGACCAGTAAATATGTTTTTTATAAAAGAAAATTAGTAAGCAACAGTAAGACACACAAAAAAGAAACAGCACAAAAAAAAATTCCCCAGTTTTCAGGTGTCTTCCATATCGCCATTGCAAGAGGTCAAAAATGATAAATGCTATGCTTAAATCTTACATGTTGGCACCTCTGTCAGTCATTATACATCACGCTAGTTATCTAGATTTAGTATTTCTTGAAAGTTTGGGTTCAGTAGATTTATTTGGAACAGTCATCCATCTTCAGTTAACAGAAATAGTTATTAACCTGCTTCTCCAGAAGCGAAGGCACAATGGCCATTGTTTTCCTTGAATCCAGGTTCTCCATACGCCCCTCCATACGCAGCCTCGTAGCCAGGATCGTACTGCTCCTCCTTGATGGCCATTCTCTTAGCATCCTCTGTGGAAACACACAGAAATCCAGGTTTATAGAATATTGTGGAATATTAGATAGCGTTATCTATCACGTGCTTTGACATATTTTGGAAGACATGCACAAAGATTCCAGTGTAAAGAACCTTCAAAACCTGCGTCCTTACCTTTAGCCATGCCGAGATCGAAAGTGTAATTGATTTCCTCTACTTCCATGGGTCTGGCCACTCCCTTCAGTTGGTCTCGGAGTTCTCTGAGCTTGATGTAGAAGTGCACTTTGTCCTGAGCTCGAGGGAACTGGGCACAGCGGGCACTTGAGGAGGGCATCAGATACAGCGCCTAAAGACCCACAGAGGCGTACAGCTGTTACGCTTACACTGATGAACTTGAGCATATGAAAATGAATTTGATTACTTTAAGCCT